TGCGTAGGAGAGAAATGGGAAGAGCTCATCTGAAATGAGCCTACAGATGAGATCTTCATTAACAGAGAAAATCTACAACCCTAGGAAGAGTTTATTAATGTTTTCCTCACCTTGGTGCCAAGCAGGATTATCTATACAACTGGCAGATATTATTTCCTGCCCTCTCCCAGCTGGACTTTTATTGTCCTGGCATTCCTTGCTGTAGAAATGTCAGCCAAGCGCCCGGCAGCCGCAGCAAGCCTCCCAGGTATGTGCCTCAGCATCCCATGAAATAAAGGCACAGCTGCACTGGCCCGTCAGACCTGCGCTCTCTCTCATGAACTTTCCTTTTTCCAAAAGCAGCTCAGATGGCATTTCTAAAGCTCAGAAACAATTTATGCCTCAGGTACACTTACAAATTACCTGCACCGCGGCTCAAAGGCACAGGCATCTGTTTGCACAGCAAATGCACGGTCGGCCCTCAGCCCTTCATCTCCCGTGTCGGTCCCAAAACAGGGTGCTGAGGCAAGGCAGCATTTTCCTCCTCACCTGCTCCTGGGATCGCTGTAAATCTCAGCGTGATGCTCAGCCAGTCATAACCATGACTGTTTCTCCCCCAGTGCCGTATCCCTGTGGGAGGATCACAGCTCCTGAAGCGAAGAGCAAGCTCACCCGAGCCATCAACACCTTTGAGCACTGGAACATCACTGCTGATGACCAGGACGATGCTCATGACAAGGCGCTTGACAACATCACGGAAACCAGCACTGCCGCCACCACGAAAATCACACCGATAATTAAGACGGGCACCCGGGTTGTCGGTGGATCAGACAGCATGAGAGGCGAGGTGCCCTGGCAGGTACTGGCTATTTCTGCAGCTCTCCCGTAGCCCCAGCAAGCACCCTGTGCATTCATTTTCTTCTGAATGCAGGATCACCTTACTTCTACATACCCGAAGCCCACCTTTGAGGTTACTTTAGCAATAGGTCTCCAGTCTAACAGGAACACAGCTTCTTTCTGTACACAGTTTGATGCCACAGCAAAAAAACATGCCTTGTTGGGGGTCTACCCTGGCAAAAAAGCTAGAAGTCAGACTCACAACGGCTTTATCTGATGGGGCATAAGCGGTCTGGTTTTGAGCTATAGCAAGAGATTCCCCAGTAGTCCATGAATTTACCAAGATTAAGCCAAAGGCTGAGGGAGGGGAGCTTTGCAAGTCACAGCTTTGCAAGGAGCAATGCAGCTCATTATTGCCTCCATCGGTTTCAACAGATCCATGATAATTTATACCAATAAGGATGCGTCCTGTCGTGAACCAAATCCAGCTGCTCTTTCTTTATGCAACTTGAGATATCCTGGTCACTTCTACCTCACCATAAGTGACACCACAGTCAAGGGGGTGCTGCAGAGAAACCTCTGCCAACCCACTGCTCTGCAAACACTTTTGAATTGTTGTCAAAAGGAAAGTTAGCTCCCAGCTTGGATCTTTTTCAGTCATCTACTTCCCTTAAATTCTACTCCGGCTTCAGTGAGAGCAGAAATCTTGGTGGCTAAGAGTGCAAAATAATAAATCTAGATGAGGTTTTAGGAATAGCAAGTCTCTTTCTGCTGCAAGCTCTGGCACAGACCGACCCTGGTGACGTCAATGGAAGGTTGCCCCCACAGGGACGTAGACGCGCATTGACACAGGTCCCCCTGTCCCTCTGTGTCTGCTGAGGGAGCGCAGTAGTCAGCAGGGTGTGTGTAGAAGGGTCAGGAGCAGGCATCTGCCCTCCATTTCAGAGATAAAAAGGCCAGTCCTATGTCGGGGACGTACAGGGCCACCAGAAGCAGCAGCAGCAGGAGGTTTTTTGGGAGGTGGTGTTTTGTGCTGGAAAGGAAGAGGCTGTACCACTGCCCCAGCCACACAGAGCTTCCCAGCACAGCCTTTTGCGGGACAAACCCCAGGGGATGCTAGCACCCACCATGCATTCACAGAGAGTCAAGAATGGAACCAGAAAGTTAAATATGAGAAATCAGTGACCTCTTCGTTATAGACATTGAGCTCCTTAAAATGCAGCTGGCTCTGCCTAACGAGGCAACAAGTAAATGTTTGGAAAGTACAAGTCAGATAGACGGGGACGAGCCACATCATGTGAAAGGAACAAAATGGGTGAATTAGAAAGAGATCTCTTTTAAACATAATCCACTGAGTTAGCTGGTCAATTTAATTACAAGTTGTAGCATAAAGGATGTCTGGCTTGTGCCCTATAAGTGCCAAGGCAGTTAGATGCCCAGATGAAATGGGTAGTTAAGATTTTGTCACTAGTTAACTAGTTAAGATCTAGTCACTGAGGAAGCACTTTTAGGAGTTACAAGTGGAAGTGCTTGTATTTCAGATGCTCTGAGTTTTATGTTGGCAGCTGTCTGCCCTCAGAGCCTGGCAGCACAGGGAGGAGGAGCGCAACGGGGCACTAACAGTGTGCGGGGTGGTGCTGGCCACCCTCTGGGACACAGCGGGGGATGGAGGGGCAGGCAGTCCCCAAGGAGCAGCATCTCTGGGTCCGTACAACCTAACACAGCCTGTCCTATAGCCAAACAAAACCCTTGTGTCCCACTCTTCTTCCCCACTGAGTTATCCAAACCCACGGGTGTGATTTCCTTCCACTCCCACAGGTTTATCTGGTGGACAGCCAAGGTGTGGGCTTCTGCGGCGCGTCCATCATCAATGAGAAATGGGTGGTGACAGCAGCACACTGCCTGAACGCAGGCGATAACGTCACTGCTGTGGCAGGTGAGCACCTTGAGTGGCATTGGACCAGCGCAGGCAAGGGACGTGGGACAGGCACAAGGCACCGTGCAGACCCCTGGGACCCACGCCACCGCGATGGGCAGCGACGTGGCATGAGTTGCTTTAGGGCAATGAGGCCTCAGTTGCAGGGTGCAGCATTTCATCAGCCTGGTCTCTGTAGGTACCACCTTCAGTGGGGTCATGAGCCGGGTCTGGGCTTGATCCCAAAGCCACGGAGCTGCCAGACCATGCTGCAAAGAAAGCTCAACCTGACCGTGGGCAAGGTCACCTGAGCTGGTGAAGACCCCAGGCTGCTTAAAAGCCCAGTGGGATTCAGTCGAGATGCTGTTTCATGAGCTGGTGCAATGGGTTTTTATATCTGCTGGTCATGTAGGACCTCAGTAGGGATTTCTGCCCTTCTTGGGGTTATGCTAACTTTTCACACAACTCTCAAAGGACAGATTTATGTGGCTGGTGCAAGAGGGGCACCAGTAACCCAACTAGCTCCTTTAGCTCCTTGCAAGGAGAGGATGACTACTTTTGCTTCTAACTTCTTTAGAAGTAAATAGAATGTATGGATTGAAGTAGAGATATCAGGTTGGCGTGTGGGAAAGCGTGCTGCTGCAGCAGGGTCTCTGGGGAGTGCAGTAGGGACAGCGCGGCCAGACCGCACAGCAAGTGATGCTGCTACTTTACAAAACAAATGTATCTTTGCTCAAAAAACGATGTTTCCCCCTGACTCTTGATGCCCAGCTGTTGCAGACCGCCTGCTAGGCAGCCTGCTGATAAATCAGCGTGGGGCCTTGGCAAGTGTCACGGTGCCACGTCGCACAGCTGTGGCAGAATCAGCTTCCCCAAATTATTTGTTTCACCCCTGTATGGATACCTGGTACAGGAGGGTTACACTGGTAGGTGCAGGAGGGGACGTGGTTAGTAATCGCTGCAGGCAGCACTGAGAGGAGGCATGAGAGAATCCTGCTTTCTGTTTAAACACTGTGAAACGTATTAATGACAAAAATGACATCTACCTGAGCCTTGAAGCACAGAGTTTATCTCTACAGAAACAAGCTCATCAAGAGGGCTCCAGCTGCACCTTCATCCTCCACGTTAATGCAGCCAAGCTCCTGGGTGTGCCTGTCTGGACCCTGGAGACTGAGCACCATGGGGCTGGGCACCACCTGCCCATGGCTGGCAGGATGAGGCTCACAGCTTGCACACAGCATTTTTTGCTGTCTACTTTCAAACAGTTTTGCTTGAGAGCCCAGCACAAAGCCCAGTCTTGAACCTGCTAATGTGGGAAAGTACAAGATGCCTGATGCAAAAACCATCTCCCCCTAGAAAAGCATATTTCCACCTGGACAGAGGTTTTGCATTTGCTGCATCTGCATGCAAACTTCCTCTCCTCTCAAGCTCTCTCCTGCAGGTCACACCCCCCTCTATTTAGGGTACATTATCAACCAGGTCCCGTCACACTACCTTCACACCACTCTGCAGCACTGCGAGGTTTCCATGGCAGGATTTTGGACAGGTAGCACATCAAGAAAGCAAAACATGATTTTGTAGGGCTTCCAGGACTATTGGATCTGTGCCTGCACCACATACACTAAAGGGGCAACATCTGAGTCCTGCACATCCATTCATACGAACTGTTCAGCTTTGTACAGAGCATCCTAGGACATCCGAAAATTGCTAGCAGGGGGTGAAAGAAGCATTCCCCTCCCCTGTTCTTCTCTGCCTCTCCACTTTCATCCCTGAAGCATATTTCCAAGTCCCCAGCAATAGGAAGCAGCCGCAGTATAAGAAAAACCTTCTGAAAGTCTCCCCCACATCTGTCTTGCATTTACACTGTAGAAACACAGCCTGTGAAGAAGCTGACATTCACACTCTGCTGCAAAAAAAAAACCCTCACAGAGCACATCAGCAGCACCAGCCACCAAACCCACCTTCACCGGGCACCAGCGTTAACACAGAAAGCTGCCTCACCTCTCGCCAGGCTCCGCGCTGCTCCTCGCAGGCAGCCGCAGCAGACACAGGACAGGGCCAGGAGCGCTGCAGACAGTGTTCAGAGGAGATCGTATATTCTGGAGATTACAGCAAAGCACGTAGAAATACCGCAGCAGGGGTTAAACGCACTCTGAGCCTTTTGGGCTGTGAGAGAGCAAGCGGGAAAAGCCATCCTGCTCTGGAGCCCTCAGCACAGGCAGGAGAGGGAATTCGGCTATAGGCAGACCCAGATGCTGCCCATTTGCTGACCTGAGACCACAGAACCTTTTCCCTTCCCTCTACCTGTTACACAAGCCTGGAGGGGAGGTAACAGGCTGCCAGCAACTCAATCACAGAGCCTGAAGCTGCCGGCAGCTCCCTGCAATCGCCAGCAGCTGAGCCTCATATGGGCAGCAGGGACCTGGGGACACCTGTGAGAAGGGGGAGGTGGCATTTCGTAACTCACCGTGCCCCATTCTGCCCCATGGCCATGGGTTTGGAAAAGAGAAGGTCAGGTTTATTTTCACTAATAAATGATTTATTTTAAACAAAGATTTTTAATTCTAGAGGCTTTCCCCCCTTTAGTGCGAGGGCGACATCCCCTTGCATCTCTTTGAGGTTGCTAAATCCTGTCAACAGCTCCATTGCTACCAACCTCAGCAAAAGCATCTGCACCTTTAGCACTCGATCAGCTGGTGCATGCCCGGTGTCACATCTGGGGGTTCAACTCCTGCTGGCTGCCCGGACCAAGGAGGTGCTGCCTTGGGGGTACCCCTTTGACAAGGCGCAAGCAGCCATGCCGGTGCCAGGTTCAAAGCAGCCCCAGGGCTGGGGCGTGCAGCTCTCATCCCTTTGCAATCACCTGGCCAGGCTGGTAACGCAGCAGGGTGGCATCATATGGGCACGGTCACCACTCCAGCTATGGAGGGTCCTGCCCAAGCCACGCTTGTCTCCGCAGGTGAATACAACACCAACGAGGATGACAACACGGAGCAGCGGCGTAAAGTGGTGAAAATCCTTCCCCACCCCACGTATGATGCCACGATCAACAAGCACCACAACGATATTGCCCTCCTGGAGCTGGACCAGCCGCTCAGCTTCAACAGCTACGTCACCCCCATCTGCATCGGCAGCCGGGAGTTCACCAACGCCCTGCTGAAGCACGGCATAGGGACGG